TGAGAAACATGAATACTGCTATTGCTGTTGCTAAACATGATTAATACTTCTGGAATACAAATGATTAATATAATATAAATTTTTAAAAAAATGAATTGATATAAATCTAGTTCATTCCTGGTATTATTGAAGCAGTTAAGAAAACTAACAAGTTATGCCATAGCGATTTTCTATATATTATTTAAGATTGTTAGTCTTATTACTTGCATTATTTAAACCTATTGGTCTTTTACCCTTTACTTGTGTATGAAAGCTAGGGAGACTAGGATACTGGAAACAAAGTGATAATATAGTAGTAGAATAAAATAGACCTCAAATAAAACATATTCCACTATTCCAATTTGATAAAGCCTCTACGGCGAAACGCGTTATTGGTTTTAATATATTGTACTAATAAATAATTTTACATATATTACCTATTATATTATTATTTTTACCTTTATTTATTGTTCCTGGCATATCCTAAGGTGGGGATTATACCACCCACGCGAAAAATAGAGTGCAGACTGACCTGCACTCTACTTGTGAGTATATTTTATTAATTTTAAAATTTTCCTACTAACAACCTCAACAGTGAGCACTATTGGCTGTTTTTATTTTCTTTTCCTGAGAATTGGATACCATCTCCAGGAGGACAAGCACCCCCATAAGCGGAGGGTTTCCGCCGTATGCCCATCATACTAGAGCTGGTCCTAGCTCATGGAAATGTGAGTGTGTAATTTATATTTTAATTTCACAATTATTACTTATACACTCTGCACGATTGGCCCTTTCCCGTTGTGTCTTTCATATCGTGAGACGGACGACTATTACCAAAGAAGACACCATACCAGTTGAGGCATCATCCATAATTGGGACTCTTTTTATTATAATATTTTATATTTTTTTTGGACTTGTTTTATTACTCCTTTGGCGCAGCCTTATTCTTTGTTTTTGTGTATAAAGTTGATTTGTTAGTGCCCATAAAAAGAAGTGTTACATATAAAATGAATTACACTCGAAATTCAGAAATATACCCTACGCATATTACTAGAACAACTGGTGGTTAAATAAACATGTTTATCTGGCCACTTCAATCATGATAATGTGCCAGCAGAAGGATGGATGACCCATGTTGGACATATTTACATCAATGATACCTCCTCCCTTCATCCTGTCTCTGTTGGAGTCCCTCAAGGCTCAGTTCTTGGTCCCCTTCTATTTTCTCTTTATACTGCCTCTCTTGGCAAACTTGTTACCTCATTTGGATTCCAATACCACCTATACGCTGATGACACTCAGATATACCACTCCTCCCTGGACCTCTCCCCTGCCATCCTCCAATGTGTCACTGCTTGCCTTTCTTCCATCTCTGACTGGATGTCCTCCCGCTTTTTGAAATTCAATCTCCCTAAAACCGAACTCCTTGTCTTTCCTCCTCCTAATACTGATCCTCCTCCTTCACTCTCCCTTCAATTTAGTGGTACCCACATAAGTCCATCCTTGCAAGCGTGCTGTCTTGGCGTTATACTTGATTTTTGGTCTCACATTTGAGCCTCACATTCAGTCTGTTACCAAGTCCTGTAGATTCCACCTTAAAAACATAGCCCCTTTCTTACGCAAGATGCTACTAAGGCGCTTGCCCATGCTCTAGTAATCTCTTGCATGGATTATTGTAACTCTCTCCTAATATGTCTTCCCACAAGTCGGAATGCCCTGCTACAGTCTGTAATGAATGCTGCAGCTAGACTGATTTTCCTCTCCTGCCACTCATCCCATACTTTTCCCCTCTGTCAGTCCTTATATTGGCTTCCTGTATTCCTAAGGAGTGAATTCAAGGTACTAATCCACACCTATAAAGCAGTAACCAACTTTATCCCCTCCTATATCGCTTCACTGATCCACAGGTATGCCCCTTCTAGGTCTCTATTGTAAAGTGCTACAGAATATGCTGGCACTATATAAATACTAGTAATAATAATAATAATAGTAATAATAATATGTACGTGTACGAGGAGCCTAGATAAAAAGAAAACAATCAGGTGTCAAGATTTTAAAATCAAATGTCATTAATAAAACGCATATCACTTAACTATAATACACCATTATGCCTTCCCAATGTTCACACTCAGAACAAGATTAGCAGAAGAGTTCATAGGAATGTAAGGAGAAGATAACCCAAAGAACATTTGAGGTCTAACAGAGGAATATAGAGGAGTACATTACTGTAATTATACATATTTTCATAAATACGCATTTACCTACACAATTTCTGTTTTGTTTTTATACACATGACCCTCACAGAATATCACTTGCTTAACCATAGAAACAACTGTTATTGTTATAATCAGAGAAAAGAGAAAATGTATGGTGTAACACTGTTCAGAGAGCTGAATAAATATAATGGGGTAATACCTCAAAGTGATAAATCAACTTGAAAATTTAATTTATTTTAAAAGAAGAATATATTTGATTTTTTGTGTGGGATAGAGGAGGGGAACCAAGATGGGCACCGCAATCGCCATAATGGGAGTATAAAGATGGCCACCGCCAGCTTGGTGGGTAAAGCGGCTGATAAAATAAAATAAGGGTTGGAACTTGAAGAATGGAAGGTGGGGTGGTAGGTGGGATGCATCTCCCCTTAAAACAAGCATTATAAACTCAGAAATGTCACATTAACTTGGAGTGCCAATATGGTGTCCATGCCCGCACTATGTGAAGTGGGTATTCAGAAGGGGGAAGAAAGGGGAGTGTGGTTGCTAGAGGGGAGGAGTTAAGGGATTGGATAACTCTGCCTGCTTTGTAAAGCAGCAGGATAACTCCTCCTAACGGCAAGGGAATGTGGGGGAAAAAACATTTGAAAAACATTTTGGTGTTCTCATTATTGGTGCTCTTACATGCCAGACATCTTTTGCACTTATAGAACCCTTTTTGTTAATTAAAAAAGTATGTTTTGAGTAATTTTTTCTGCTGTAATTTTTGGCAAGACATCTTTTAAGAATGGGGTCCCCCTGAATACTATTTTAGGTCTTTCTGGTAGGATGTTTTTTAGAATTCCATCTTCTTTTAGGATGTTTCAATGTTTTCTAATATTTATTTTTTTCATTTCAAAACTTTTGTTATTATATTCCAGCACAATTGGGAGAGTGATTTATTTTTCGTTATTGGTGTTGTGGTATTGTAAAAATTGGTTTCTGTCAGCGTTAATTAATTCTTCAATTAAAGTGTTTATGAGTTTTTCATCATATTTTTTTTCTTTTACTTTTTCTTTAGGGTCATGAGATTGTGCTTTAAATTCCTCGTCATTATTGCAGTTGCATTTTAGTCTTACTAGTTGGCTCTTTGGGATGCTTTTTAGCCACAGAGGGTAATGGCAGCTGCTGGAATCAATAAACATAGTTGTGCGAACTTTTTTAAAGAAAGTTTTTGTGAACTGCTGATTGTTTTCATTATAGATATTTAAAAATTTAACTTTGTCTGTGTCTGTGTTTAGTTTAATGCCCCTATCATTATTGTTTAAGAAACATATAAAGTGGTTAAGATCGTCATGAGTGACTTCCCATATAAAAAACAGGTCATCAATATACCTGCAGTATAAAATAATATTAGAGTTCCATCATTTGGTGATAGAGGGGCTTTCAAAATGCTTTCAAAATGTGTCTATTTGTCTATTTTGTGTATTCAAAAAATGGGTGGTCATTGTTCGTATTTTAGCAGGAGAGAGGTAATTGTTAGTGAGTATATTGGTACGATTGTAATGAGTAGTGGGTTGCGAGGAGGGTTTCAGAGATTAATAGGTGGGAGAGGTATAGGAAAACTGGAATTTGGACGGTGCTGGTGATATATTCCTTGATCTTTATGTGTTTGGTATCGATTTTTACTTTCTCTATTTTGCTTCGTATTAGGACAGAGTTTTGTTTGTATTCATGTCCATATTCAAAGGTGGATAGCTTTTCTTTTAAGGTATTGATTTACTGATCTAAAAGGACTAAGTGTCGTTTTTTTTTTTACTTATGAGTATTTTCATTAGGTGAGGCCAAGCTGCAACACACACGGAATACAAGCGACAGAAAATTCACTCCCTTACAAATCTGAAATATTGAAAGAATTTTTTTTTTTTTAAATTAAGTATTTTAAAAGAAAATTAGAAACTCATCACAACCTCTAGTATAGGATAGAATCCTTCAGCCATACACATGCACCTTGGGTCTGACAGTGTTTGAAAACAAGTTAGTCTCTTCAGTCTTACCTGCTTCTGTGTAGGGTGTGTCACGTATTCATCCGCTTATAGAAATGTGGTTAATGACATTTACTGTCCACACAGGAAAAGTTGTGCCGAGCAGCAACCTAATCCACAGAAGGTTTAATGCTGAGCAGTAATTGTGCAAATGAAACCTGGTGTTGTATTCATCCGCTTATAGAAAAGTGGTTAATGACATTTACTGTCCACACAGGAAAAGTTGTGCCGAGCAGCAACCTAATCCACAGAAGGTTTAATGCTGAGCAGCAATTATGCAAATGAAACCTGGTAACTGACTTTGGGGTCAAAGGCCGGTTACAGCCTATCAGAACTAAAGGAGGGGTATTTAGCCCAGCTCAGCCTGCTCAGTGCCCTGTCGTGGTTTCCCTTGTGGTTGTCTGAGAGCGCGTTCCTGTTTATAGTTTTCTACCTGGTTTTTGACTTTGGCTTTGTTTATTGACTTCTCTATATTCTGGTATCCTGACTCCTGGCTTTCCTCATCGCTGTGTCCCTTTCTGTGTTCCCTGACCTCGGCTAGTATTTTTGACTATTCTTTGTACGTTAAATCCGGCCATTCTAAGGACCGGTAATACGTTACTTATTTGTCATCCGTGCTGTACAGTTCTACGTGCTGGATCAAACAGTAATCCTGACATTACGACATGGCCATAGATCCTGTAGAACTGTGTCAGCACATAGCTGCTTGCGAGAGGAAATTAGAGGAGAATGATCACCGCATGGATCAATTCACTCAGGCTTTAAGTACGCTTCTCGCTAGAATGGAGCATCTGCAGCCTGCAGCGTCTCCTCCTATAGCACCTCTACCCTGTGTACCTCCACCCACTGTTAATAGGACTCCTAGCATCTCCTTATCACCATCCCTACAGTTTGATGGCAATATCCAGGAATGCAGGGATTTTCTTAATCAGGTGGAGTACCATTTTGAGGCCTCACCAGGGTCATTCCCCACGGACAGAGCAAGAATTGGTTATCTAATTAATCAATTAAAGGGCAAGGCCCTTGCCTGGGCTAATCCGTTGTGGGAGAGTAATTGGAGCATAGCTCATAATTACCAGGAATTCCTTGCCGAATTCAAGCTCACGTTTGAGCCATTGGGTAGAGAGGATGACGCCTCCACTGCCCTAATGCACATCAGACAAGGTAACCGGTCTAACTCGGATTATGCTATTGAATTCCGTACCTTAGCTTCCGAGGTAGACTGGACTAACAATGGGTTAATCTCAGCATTCAAAAAGGGTCTCTCAGAGACTATACTAGATGAGATAGCCGCTTAAGAATTACCAAAGAGTCTTAACGAATTTATTACGTTTGTCATGCATATTGATAATAGGTTAAGACTCAGAGAAGCCACCAGAAGCAAGACCAGACGTACGGCTATGTCCCTAGCACCTCAATTCTCTAAACCTGTTTTGTCTAACCTCCCTGTACAGTCCGAACCCGAACCTATGCAGTTGGGGGTCACTAGACAGTCAGAGGCCAAAAAACAGTATAGGAGAAGGGAGGGGTTATGCCTATATTGCGGTAGAAAGGGACATATGATAACTAATTGTCCAGTGCGTCCGGAAAAACCTCCGCACCTAAGAACCTTAAGGGGACAGATCTTAGGTGTGATGGGGTTGTCCTCTAACAAAAACAAAAGTAGATTCCTCCTTGAGGTATCTATTTTCCTTGATAACAAGAAGTTTTCTTGCAGTGCCCTAATGGACTCAGGTGCTGCTGGAAATTTTATTGATGTCCAGTTTATTAGGGGTAATGAGATTCCGGTCAGGGAGAGACCTACGCCGCTAGCCGTAGAGGCTATTGATGGTAGACCACTCACACAACCGCTTATAACCCACAAAACTGTCCCTATTACGATCTCCATTGGGGCCTCCCATAGGGAGGAGATGACGTTTCAGGTTATTACTTCTCCATCATGTCCTATCATATTAGGGTTTCCGTGGCTGAGTAAGCACAATCCCTATATTGACTGGGTTAATGGGGAGATATTAGAATGGGGTAAAGAGTGCATGGGGAGATGTATAAAACCAGTACTAAAGAGATTGGATACTATTGACCTTCCCACTACCACTCCCCAAACTCCTGGAGTTCCCATACAATACCGAGAACTTCAGGAGGTGTTTAACAAGGCTCAATCCGATGTATTGCCTCCCCACAGAGCATATGACTGTGCCATTAACCTGTTTCCAGGCGCTATGGATTTTTATGCCTTATCTCCCCAGGAGAGTAAAATAATGGAGGAATACATCAAAGAATCCTTGAGCAAAGGGTACATAAGAAAGTCATGCTCACCAGCTGGTGCAGGATTCTTTTTTGTTAAGAAAAAGGGTGGTGAGTTACGCCCTTGCATAGACTACAGGGCACTTAATAAAATCACTGTAAAAAATGCATACCCTATCCCACTCATTTCCGAATTGTTCGATAGACTTCAGGGAGCTAAAGTATTTACTAAGCTTGACCTTAGGAGCGCTTACAATTTGGTTAGAATTAAAGAGAATCATGAGTGGAAGACGGCATTTAATACCCGTAGTGGACACTATGAATATCTGGTAATGCTATTTGGGTTATGCAACGCCCAGACCGTACTCCAAGACTTTATAAACGATGTACTCAGGGAATTCATTTACTCATTTGTCTTGGTTTATTTGGACGATATTTTGGTGTATTCCCTGATCTTCAAACTCACCACTCCCATGTGAAACAGGTTCTGCAGACGTTGTTGAAAAATAAACTTTATTGTAAATTAGAAAAGTGCATATTTGACCAGCCTGAAGTCCACTTTTTGGGTTACAACATCTCTGCATCGGGATTTCAAATGGATCCTAAAAAACTAGAGGCTGTACTACACTGGCCATTACCCTCTGGTTTAAAAGTCATTCAAAGGTTTATTGGTTTTGCCAACTATTACAGAAGATTCATCAAGGGATTTTCTTCTGTAATAGCCCCAATCACAAATATGACTCGCAAAGGGGTTAGTAGCACGGTATGGTCCAAAGAGGCTGTGAATGCTTTTGAGACTCTTAAACAAAGATTTGCCTCTGCGGACATACTAAAACATCCTGACACCAGTAAACCTTTTATATTGGAGGTTGATGCATCCGAGACAGGGGTAGGGGCTGTTCTCTCTCAGAGAGAAAGCCAGGGAACACCATTGCATCCTTGTGGCTACTTCTCCAGAAAGATGTCTCCTGCTGAGCGCAACTATGATATTGGCAATAGAGAACTGTTGGCCATCATTCTTGCCCTCAAGGAGTGGCGACATCTTTTGGAGGGTTCCAAGGACCCCCTGTTGATCATAAACGACCACAAAAATCTGGCATATATAGGGGATGCCAAACGTTTGTCTTCCAGACAGGCTAGATGGTCACTGTTCCTTTCACGTTTTAACTTTCTCATTACTTATAGACCTGGTTCTAAAAATACCAAGGCTGATGCCTTGTCCAGGCAATTTGATAATGAGTCAGCTCCGGAACAGGTGACATCTCCTATTATTCCACCAGAGTGTATTATTGCCACTACTGTCCTCTCACTGTCTTCTCCACTGCTTGGCACCATACTGGAGGCCCAGCCTCAGGCGCCCAGTGGTAAACCGTGTGATAAACTGTTCGTTCCCCTATGTGAAAGGGTTAATATCATGAAAGTGTTCCATGACAATATAACTGCTGGACACCCAGGCATCAATAAGTCCACTGCCGCGATCACTAGATCATTTTGGTGGGATTCACTCAGGAAAGATGTAAAGGAGTATGTGCAGGCATGTTCTGTGTGTGCAGTTTCTAAGGTGACTCATGCACTTCCTTGTGGCCTGTTGCAGCCTCTTCCTGTTCCTGAGATTCCATGGTCCCACTTATCCATGGACTTTATTGTTGGGTTCACTACTATTCTCATGGTTGTAGACCGATTTTCTAAGATGGCTCACTTCATTCTTCTCAAGAAGTTGCCATCTTCGCAAGATTTGGTCCTAATTTTCATACGTGAAATTGTCCGTTTGCATGGCATCCCCCACAATATTGTGTCTGATAGGGGCTCTCAGTTTGTGTCCAGGTTCTGGAGGGCATTCAGTAAACAATTGGGGATTGAGCTCTCCTTCTCCTCCTCCTACCATCCACAGACCAATGGTACAGCTGAGAGGGCTAACCAGTCATTAGAAGTTTATTTGCGCTGTTTTATTAATAGCACACAAGACAATTGGTCCAAACTACTCCCGTGGGCTGAGTTCGCTAGAAACAATGCTGTTCATGACTCCTCTGGGCACAGTCCATTTTTTGCCAATAACGGTAGGCATCCTATGGTTCTCCCTGTGGTATTTTATGATACTGCCATTCCTGCTCTGGATGAGCGTCTGACCTCCATTCGGGATACCTGGGTTAAGGTTCAAACTGCTCTAGGGGCTGCTGCTGAACGCTTCAAACATTTTGCTGATAAGCGTAGGAGTGCCAACCCGGTGTACCAAGTGGGGGACCGGGTTTGGTTGTCATCTCGCAACATCAAGCTTAAGGTCCCTAGCATGAAGTTTGCCCCCAGATTCCTTGGTCCCTATAGAGTGCTTCGTAGGATCAATCCAGTGTCTTACTCTCTGGCTCTTCCTGCATCTTTAGGGATTCCCAACACTTTTCATGTGTCCTTACTCAAACCTCTTGTCTGCAATAGATATACTGTTCCTTGTGTTCCGCCCCCTCCGGTGGTGGTGGGTGGTCAGGAAGAGTATGAGATATCTTCTATCGTGGATTCTAGGTTTTCTCTGGGCACTTTACAGTACTTGGTTGTTTGGAAAGGTTACGGTCCTGCTGATCGTTCTTGGGTTTCGGCTCCTGACCTGCATGTGGACCGTAAGATCTGCGCTTTTCACGCTACATTTCCTCTCAAGCCTGGTCCTGTGTGCCCGGTGGGCGTTCTTCAGGTGGGGGGTAATGTCACTTATTCATCCGCTTATAGAAATGTGGTTAATGACATTTACTGTCCACACAGAAAAAGTTGTGCCGAGCAGCAACCTAATCCACAGAAGGTTTAATGCTGAGCAGTAATTGTGCAAATGAAACCTGGTCTCATGTATTCATCCGCTTATAGAAAAGTGGTTAATGACATTTACTGTCCACACAGGAAAAGTTGTGCCGAGCAGCAACCTAATCCACAGAAGGGTTAATGCTGAGCAGCAATTATGCAAATGAAACCTGGTAACTGACTTTGGGGTCAAAGGCCGGTTACAGCCTATCAGAACTAAAGGAGGGGTATTTAGGCCCAGTTCTCAGCCTGCTCAGTGCCCTGTCGTGGTTTCCCTTATGGTTGTCCGAGAGCGCGTTCCTGTTTATAGTTTTCTACCTGGTTTTTGACTTTGGCTTTGCTTATTGACTTCTCTATATACTGGTATCCTGACTCCTGGCTTTCCTCATCGCTGTGTCCCTTTCTGTGTTCCCTGACCTCGGCTAGTATTTTTGACTATTCTTTGTACGTTAAATCCGGCCATTCTAAGGACCGGTAATACGTTACTTATTTGTCATCCGTGCTGTACAGTTCTATGTGCTGGATCAAACAGTAATCCTGACAGGGTGTGAAGTAGGGAAGACCATAGAGACTAACAGTTTTTTTTCAACCTCTGTCTGATCAAAGGAGCGTTTATATGGTTAAAGGTTCCTGGAATATATTAAAGGTAGAGATAAGGTATTTTTTACATATGTGATGGATCCTCTGTATTCTGACTGAGTACCTCCGCCAGGTCAACTTCCTCGTTGCTACCAAGGCCTCTGCAGCACTTCAGACCAACTTACTGAAGCTTGGCTGGAGTCTCAGAGGACCTTTTCCACTGGATCAGGCTGCAGTGATTATAGCTCAGAAGACATTCTCTCCTGTAAAGCTTTTTTCCCCACACATTAGAAGAGTCTCTATGTAGGGGGTAGACTGATCTTTTTTTGTACAGCACTTTATACACAAATTATACACAGCAACATTGATTCTCCCTACAGG